TTTATCAGTAAACGCCGTTCGTTCCTCGTCGAATTTGAGCCGCGGAATTTCGCACGATATTCGACGACGGCAAATTCGACGCCAATTCCGGCTGTTCTTGCGCGCCCCCGATGCTACTTTCAAATGGAGCCAGCGTCCATGCGCGCGCGGGCCTTCGGCCTTTGGCTTCCTGAAATAGTTGCTGAAATAGTACACGCCCCTGCCCGAGTAATAAACCCAATTCCACATACTTAACAGGCATACCATGTCTGACACCCTCGGCCGAGTCTTCGACCTGCTGTTAACGCGCGAAATGCTGTGTCGACGTCTCGCGTTAATTAAGAATTTTCCTCAACCGAGGGATTCCATCTTTGTTCGTTAATCGTAGATTTCGTATATTTCGCAGTCAAAATTAATCTCTTGACGTAATAGAAAAATATTCGAATTTTATTTTCTTGTGTATTTCGATTCGTTACGCTGTTGCTCGTACGAGTACTCAGATTTCTGCCAATTGTGGCGTCACCTGTAATTCTCATCAATTATTCCAAGTGGGTTCACGATCGTTTTCGTCTTTTCTCGCGAATCTTGGATTTAATCGATTTCGAAGAAACATTTCTTCTTCGAGGTTATTGGAAAGATCGAAATTTTGGTTTTAAATTTCGTGTCTTGGTGTGTATAGGATGACCCAATCGTTGTTAATACCAGTTATTATTCATGTTGATTATTATTACTAGTATTGTAGAGTTTGTGAATTTATCAAGAGAAAAAGGATCACTGTTCACTAGCATTCATTCGCTACCACGCTTTTCTATTCACGCAGTCACTTTCGTGCTTTGCAACCCTTACACACGCATTCACGCACTCTCGTGCATCAGGAAACAACACCCGCATTTCTCTCTCAAACCTAAGAAACAAATGCACGCATTATTCTTTGCTCATAGTCCGAAATACCTCACTGCACACATAGTTCACTGACATCAGTCATATTTCGCCATTTCACAGTATTAACACGTTAAATCTGAGTCCGTGGGGACTGACCGTTGATTTTCCATTTGAACAGCTTCGGTCTATGGAACCATCAGTATCAAAGTTAAAAAATAAATGCAGTAATTTTAATGATATTTATCTTAATTGCTACAAAATAAATATACTCAGTCTTTCTTAGGTTTTAAAGCTTTATTAACCCTTTGCACTCTAGAGGTGAGCCTAAGTCAGCGTTCAATCAAATTCCGGAGATCCATGTTAATTAACATATCAAATCTAAGATAACCTAAGATTGCATAGGATGCCGAAATAAAATAATTTTAAGTCTTAATTTATACCCGATTCCTTGTTTACCGTTTCAAAAATGTGCTCGACGTTACAGCAGAAATTCTTTGAATTGCTATCTCTCTGTAATGAAAATAATCACCGAGTGCAAAGGGTTAAATTATCTCTTTCTCACCCGATACATTTTTCTCTTCAAAATTCTCCGCCAATGACAATCGATTAGCGTAATCAATATTAGCATAACATCCTGTATAACGCGAGTCAGGTAAAATTCTTCCTTCATCTAAGTCCCAGTAATAGAAGGTTAATATGCAGTAATAAACAGGGATTAACCATCGCTTTGTGAGCGTAATTAAGAACGGAGGGTAAGGAATCATGCTTCCGGAGTGTCTCGCTGTGGCGATTAGAAATGGTTCTCTGAAAACGAGCATAGAGCGATATTCCCGACCGCCAGCAACGAATTACGACGCGGATGTCGTTGCACTTTACATTGAAAGAAAAAAAGGGGGGAAAATGGCGAGAGGGGGAGGCGTGTGCAGCGTGTCGGACAGAGGCGGACCACCCTGACTCGTGGTAAACGCGAACGTGGAAACGCGGCGTTCGCCATGGCGCAATGGTATCTTTATCGACGTTCTACTGTCCGTCGTAAAGCGCGTCCGGCCTGGCTTTACGACGGCTACGCTCGGTAATTGAAAATCGTGTCCAGCCTCGTTCCGTTTCACGTGTCGGTAATGAACCGTTTGGAACGCGCCACGGCCCGCGGCGAATTGCGAACATTCGCGCGCGATACGCGCCGCGATTACCCCGTGTATTAAAAGCACGGGCCCCGATTGGAAGTCGTTACACTTGATTCGCCGTTCATCGTCCCTTCGTTCACCCCTTTCGTTCGTTTCTAGATGGCTCCGTTGGTTGCACGAGATTCGCTTTGTTTCGTCCTAATTGTCGGAGTGTCTTGGATTATGCGGAAAAGATCGGATTTATAGAAATTCAACTTTTAACTTTGATTATATTTTATTCCCTGGCGGTGCACATGCGCAGAGGCTTGAGTCTTCTGAGATGCGTGATGCAGACGGTGGATTGTCGAGAAGTGTCCCCTAGAATCCTTCAGTCAGATTCTTATAGGCCCTATGACGACACATTGCGTCAGTCAGACTCAGTCCTGCTTCGAAAATTGATAGACTTGATGGTTCCTCGAAGCAAACATAGATCCCGATGCAAATAAAGACTCCTCTCACAATAATTACTCGTATTTCAGGAGGTCTTCCAATTTTATTTTTCTTTTTTCTTTTGGTGGGGATTAGGAGTGTGTTTTCGCGATGACTATGATTGTTTCCATTTTGGGGTAGAGATTGCAGCATTTGGGGTAGTTCTTTTTAAGTATTATAGTTGTGGATGAAAATTGGTACGTATAGAGAAGAATAAGAATATGTGACCTGAGAGTAGTAATATTGTAGGATTTTTGGCTAAATTAACCCTTTGGACTCGAAGATTTCTGCATCTTCACAGTGAAGATGCAGTTCGAAGCTCTTCTTAGATTTTTATAAGCTCACTGATACTCTTTATGCTAAAATGAAAAAAAAAAATCGTGAATTTGTGTGAGAAACAAATAGAATAATTTTATTTCGATGTTCTTAACATAATTATCATCATTCGAATAAAAAAAAAAATCGTGAGTTTGTGTGAGAAACAAATAGAATAATTTTATTTCGATGTTCTTAACATAATTATCATCATTCGATATTTTAGTTGTAGCATTAAAAGAAACGGTGACTGAGAATCACCTCTCGAGTGCAGAGGGTTAATCCTATGCAAACAGAGATCTGCGTGTCTAACAAACAATAACTCTCTTTGTCTAACAAAACAGGTTTCATTTAATTAAAATATTACGCTGAGTCTCTCACACGTCTCAACTCAAATCTGCCTACTTCTGACTTTTTCTCGATTCTTCTCAATTCTCAACTCGATTCTGACTGCCTCGCGCCCTTGCATCCTTACTCAAAGCCAAATATGTCTCTTTCCATACACGTGCTTTCCTTCTCGATCATTCGACACAGTCACAGCATCCCGACAAAGGATTTCGCGCTGTCGTTTGTTCTTTCGCGTCGGGCCCGATGCCGCCATTTGCGATTCCTCGCTTTTTGAGAAGCCGCCCAAAAGTTTCCACGCACTCCCTTGGAAGTAAGACCGCACACCCTTCGTCTCGTTACTTCTCTTAATACATTGTCAGTGTCCTTCACCGTTCGCCATCCTACAATAATAGAGTTACGTATAGTACCTAACTCCTGAGAATAGTAATACAGTAATAATAGCAGAAAATAATTGCAAATGGTGTTTATCGTTTTGGCTAGTGAAATATTCTTGATCTCTATTCAGAGAAGTGTTAGGAAGGAATTGTTGCCATAGGAGGAATAAAATTTGCATCGAGCTGTGAAACGTGGAATTTCGAAATGCGAAGGAGAAATAAATTGTGCTTCTAGTTGGATGAATAAATGCGTTCTGTGAAAGGGGAGTGATCGAAACGGGTCTTGAACGTGGCTTGCAGGTACTTTCCCCTAAATTTCCTCGCGAAAACGCGTTTTGCGCTTTTTACGTGCGAGTATTTTTGTAATATTTCAAGCAAAGCTCGGTCGTTGGTGGCTCGGCGAGGGGGCGGGAGGGAATAGAAGCGTGACCGTGCATATTTGTTTTGTAGCGTAAAAAACACAGGAAGCTGGATGTATTTTTGGAGCGCAGTCATTAATGGATGCTAGGAAATGTGTGTACGCGAGCATGTAGCAGCGCTGTCTACGTCAAGCACATTCGCACGGTTGGCAGTAACATGTGTCAAATGTTAGACGGTTCTGAAAATGTGTTCCGCGTAATGCTAATGGCCAAATATAGGTTTGCTGAAATTACATTTTGCCCGTTTGTCAACCATTTGTTATGCCTCGTGAAAAATCGTTCGACGAAAATGCAGCTTAATTTTCCGCGTTATTCTTGCGAAAAAACTTTCCACCGCACTTCCTACGCGCGAAACTGTAATCCCCCGTGACGTAGGAACAATTGCAATTGCAAGTGCACTCGTGAAAATAAATTTGGCAAATGGAGTTAGAGTTATTATACCGACGACGTTACATTTGCAAACAAATTTCTGCGAGATTTTCTGCACAGGGAACATCAGTAATCATACGCGATAGAAAAATAATCGGAAAAGCTGGATTTCTGCATTTTTCTAAATTGAATTTCCACGCAGTAATTATACCATTTACAATATTTCCATGTTACTATATTGCAGAGAAATCTCTGTGAAATCTTTTGCATATGAAATAATAATCCTCCATAGCGTATGATGCAAAAATGGTAAACATAGCAAACAAAAATAGTTTAAAAAGAAAAATAGGTGTACTACTACTCTAGTACCTACCCCAATAAATTTATAAATTGTACAAGAAATGAAAAATAATACAATTACACGAATTATATGATGAAAAACCCAAGTTTCTGTCATGTCCGATTCAACAAGCCTGTCAACCCCTCTCTGCCAGTAAACGCGTCATCCCTAAATCCCTCGATCGAGCACCCCCCGTTCTCCTAGACCTCGCGGAACCTCTCAGAGAGCCCATACTCCTCGACAGCCACGGTAACAACCAAAAAGAGTGTTCGAAGCCAGAAGCTCGAGCTCGAAAGCATAAATAGCCAATTAAGCCGACTGTCAGGGACGCGAGGCATCGGCACAAAGACGCGCTGACACGTTGCACGGTTTCTGTCTGCAGGTCTGCGGGAAGGTGTTCAACAACGCATCGGCGCTCACGAAGCACAAGCTGACGCACAGCGACGAGAGGAAATACGTGTGCACGATGTGCGGCAAGGCGTTCAAGCGGCAGGACCACTTGTGAGTACAGATGCACGCGATTCGCCCCTTTTCCGCGTCAATTAACCGCCACTGGCGCGCGTGTCCCCTGTTTCGCTCCTTCGCCATGGTAATTGCCAAAAACGTTAATACACTCTGTCCCTTTTTCGCCTAACTCTTGTCTCGCTTTACGCGATCCGCGAATCGTACCCCGGCCTCTCGAACCGTCGAGCAAAACGCTCCCGAGGATCAGGGGCTTACCGGTTTCGTTCGCGGAAGATTACGGAGCAGACGCTGTTTCGTTAGAGAACGAGTCCTCGCGAGGTTCGTGTAATATCGCGGAATGGTTGTTTCGGTGCTTCGTAGACTACGCGAGGGGATTGTTTCCGATACGCGATCCGCCGTGCCGCATGAGTGGGTCGCACGAGTGGGCCGCGGCTCGAGTGCGGCTCGTTCTAGGCCGGATTTCGCGAGGAGAGCAGCCCGCCTTTTGTTACCAGGTACACGGCTCGTGATAGTCGAATGCTGACTTGGATCGCGGTGCAAAGGTTTACGTGTTTGGCGAATCGATCCGCTTCTTACGGTTTTGCGCTGCGAACCCAGTCTGTGGGAGACTGGGTCTGCGGATTAGATGGATGGCTTGGGAAACATGGTGCTGGCGTGTGACAATCTTTCGTGGTAAAGCTTCGTCTGCTTTCTAGATGGATTTTAAATTTATTCGCGTTTCGAGAATTCGAATTTCGCAATTTTTGTCTATTTTGGTCTGTTGATTTGGAATCGATGAATCTGTCAGAGTTCTTCGTGTCAATAAGTCACGCGTTGTGGTATTACTTTTACAATTCTTTATTGCTTACTAAGCACGTGTTAGCGGTGCAATGGTCTCTGGTAATTGGTCTCTTGTCCCTGTGGTTATGTTAGAGAGAAAAATTGAGGGAAAACAAAGACGTCCAAAATGCTTAGCCGTCCTATGCCTAGATATAGAAACTTCGAACACACGGATAGCGATTTGCAGTTACCATTTTAACCCTTTGACTGCCACGCCGAAATTACGTATTTCCCTCAGGACGTCACAGGAGAGCACCCCTAGATGCAAGATTTGTTGTAATATTTTCTTGATCGATGTTCTAATAAAAATTTTTAATTGTTCAGTGTGGCACTTTTTATTTTTAAGTGTCTTCTAATTAGCGCTTATGTTCACAATGCACCAGCTGTCAATTTTCCTTCAATTTTTATGATTGTAGTATACGAGTGCTCTGGTCACCACCACCATGTCGTCACAGGAGAAACCGTGGCCGGTCATATATGACCAACGTGGCAGTCAAAATGATAACAGAATCCTTGAACTTCTGAGACTTTGATTCTTTGACATTCTTTTGAATTATTCGTCCTCTCAAATTTCTTTTTTATTTCTGTCGTGAAATTATGAAATGGAATTTAAAATCCCAGAATCGTTGGACTTTCATGCTCCATTGGAAAGAAGCATAGACGATGATTCTTCTCCGTGGAGGAGTCAAAATTGCGGGGCGAGTCTGAAGGGAAGCAAACTTTTATTTCTGTCGTGAAATTATGAAATGGAATTTAAAATCCCATAATCATTGGACTTTCGTGCTCCATTGGAAAGAAGCATAGACGATGATTCTTCTCCGTGGAGGAGTCAAAATTACAGGGCGAGTCTGAAGGGAAGCAAACGCGAATGGTACCATGAAGACAGTAAATTTGTTCAAGTTTCGAGAATTATAATTTGCGAATTTTTGTCTATTTTGATCTGTAGATCTTCGGATCGTTGAATCCTTGAGCTTCTGTGTCTCTGCTTCTTCGACTCTTCGAATTTCGAATTTCTCTTTCATTTCTGTCGTGAAATTATGAAATGGAATTTAAAATCCCATAATCATTGGACTTTCGTGCTCCATTGGAAAGAAGCATAGACGATGATTCTTCTCCGTGGAGGAGTCAAAATTACAGGGCGAGTTGGAAGGGAAGCAAGGCGAATGGTAGCGCGAAGAGAGAAAGAGATTGGACAGGATCGCGAGAATTGAGGATTCAATTGTTGCCGAGAAGGGGAAAAGGAATAAAGGGGAATCAATAGTGGCAGCGACGGTTGCTAGCGTTGGTCAGACTTGTTGGCTGGTCGGAAGAGGTTAGACTTGTATTTCCTTTTCGTAGACGGATCTACAAATCCTCCCTCCGCTATTTCCACTTTCTCGACGGTTCTTCTTTCTTTTCCTTATTCGGCATTCGCCACGTAGCACGGCCACGTTTCCACTCGGACAGTAGTTCTCCTTTTTCCCAGCCTCTCGTGCCTTCTCTCTGTCACGTTCGACTCGGCTTTGCGGTATTACTCGCGATTCGTTGGATGCTTTGTCAGGAACTTATTGATACCGCATGGAACAGTTGCCCCCCGTGCTTAGGATATCTATTAATTCGTCCTTGCCCGATGCAGCTAGAGTTCGCCACGAGATCTCGTCGCTTCGCCGATTTTCCCCGATTTTCTCCGATTTTATTTATTAATTTTAACGACAACCACAATTGCGACGAATGAATCGCGTGTTTTGTATCGCGATAACATTTGCCACGTGAAATCATAATTGGAAATTGCCTGCAACGTAAACAGCCACTTCCGTGACCCACAGTCTCGTCATATATTAGCCTTTATTTCGATCCGTGATCGAATCGAATCGATTCTTGAGCTCGAGGCATTGTCCTAAACATTGCTCCAGCACCAATCACCAGCTCCCATTTTCCATTTTATGAGACTCCGCTCGCAACGCATTATAATGCCGCTTTTTCCTTCTCTCTTCCTCCTCGTTCGTTTCTTTAATGCCTCCTCTCTTGCTCAAGCTGCGCGTAGAAATCTGTATCGTGCCTTTAGCGATCCACCCAGCCGAAGAAATATCGTTCCGTGAAATTCTTCTAAAGAGTTTCTTCAAACTCCGTAGATATTCCGTCCAGCGATATATTTCCCCCTCCGCGTTCCTCGAGATTCTTCGATAATTTCAGGAAAATTCTCCGAGACTGTCCACCCTTCGAAAATTATCAGACATCGGCAAGGAACACTCCTCGTTAGATCCTTCGACGAGAAATCTTTGAGGGTTGAACGCTCCGGAGTTCAGGTAGCTGCGAATCCTCAGCCTTCGAAATTTCGCGATAAATATTTTTGCGAATTATCAAGTGACATTATCCTTAGCAATTATTTGCCTAATTTATTATATAATTTATTATTATTGTGGAAAGGAATCTAGCAAGCGAGCTGGAAAGGACTCTAGCAAAGGAAATAGTATTAAGAGCAGTATGGGGTTCGGCTCGGACGTTCAGGGTGATGTCTGGACTGCACACGGATGGATGGATGACCACGTGCAAGGATTATATGAATGAGATATTTATGATCGGGACGAGTGCAAGTAATGAACGAAAGTCTAGGATTTTATCCAAGTGTCTGAAGTAACTGGCCCACCAAGGGCGAGGTGATCAACGAAGAGAGCTTGTTAGGCTTCAAATAAGGGTGCAAAGGCACGAGAAAGGCAGAGTGCATGTAGTCGAGTCATTGTGAGTAGAGAATCGTGGGTTTGAGAGTTAGAGTTCAACAGAAAACTTAGTTTAAATAAATCTGTTTTGTTATCAAAAAGGAGTCGTTGTTTATTACACAAACAGGTCTCTGTCTGCGTAGGATTAATCTAGCATTAATCCCACACTATTGATTAAAATAATTAATATTTTATCTAGAAATCCCAGACGAGATCCCAAATATTATAAGAATCCCAAACCAGATTTCGACGTTATCTTAGATGAAGGTAAAAGGAGGTGAGGTGAGGTGTGAAATACGAAGTCACTGCTAGCGAATCTTCGATAAGCCCTCACTAGGCGACTACGACTGACAACTGACTAACTAACTAACTCTTAATCGACTAACTCGCTCTTCGAATCACTGACTAATCTCAACTAACTTGACAACTCACTGATAATCAACTGATCAACGATCAAATTCCCTATCTTCCAGGACAGAAGTGTCTGGTGACCCGAGGCAACGTAGAAATTCGACTACACAAATGAACAAGTAAATCTCGGGGCATGTACTGTTCGGCATTTAGGATTTGGCTATTGAAAGACCATAATAGGTCTTTCTGTGCTATGTCTATTTTCTAAACCTATCTGTATATCGTTACTAGGTCGATCTTAGTCGGCGACGATTAGTGGCAGACGGTTCTTTGAAGAAGGTTGTGTCTAGCTTCAAAGTGTTAAGTGGACTGTATTTTAGGAGAACTCTCTTCGTGACTGTTCTGTCGGTGGTTTTATAAGCTTGCTCTGTCTACTGCTTGGTTGCGAATAATATTGGGTGGGGGGCTAGCTCCAGCGTCTTTGGGTGGTGGTGGTTGTTTAAACAATCTGGGTCCTTATGCCTGTCGTCTTAAGGGTGATATATGGTTGCCTCTTACGGTTTATAGCGGTCCTAGGGCCGCAACACTGGTACATGTAAAATTTCAGCGCCTTCACATTTAGATACACAGTCTGACCTAAACAAAAGGATGAACGAAATACCGGAAACGATATTTCAAGAATTATCACTATCCTACATTTATTAATTATTTTATTGCTATGTTAATATCTACGATGTCTACCGTCACTTGTTATTCCTCCATTGCTCAAAAAATTTGCATTTCCCAGTCATCGAGGAAACCTAAGAAAATCCTCGAGCCTCGGTAATTCCACGGAAATCCCTTCGAGTAATCCTCGCGAAATTCGCCGACTTTCGCGTGCAAACGATTAGTTAATAGTTTCCGCGATAATCAGGAGCATCCCTTACCCTGTCCTCCCGGCATCTTTAGCAAACTGGAGCGTTCGAAAATTCGTCTTTGTGCTCGCGTGGAAATCGGCACAATCCTCTTTTGTGCCCGGTCCCGTGCTCGCTACGTGCGCCGGATTCGCATCGAGCGGGGCGTATTTTTCTTTTCCTCGACCTTTCCACCGCGTCGCCTTCGTTTTATCTACGTATTTCATTCGATAGGGTCTCTCAACACTCGGCTCAATGCGAGCTGACGAACAGCCCG